GTGGGGGGGGGGGGGGGGAGGGGCTTTTATAAAAGACAAAGACACATTCAAGTAAGAATACTGACAAGATAGCTTCAGTATTAAAATGCCCAGAATTGTTTTAGCATAAATGATCGACATGGTTATCAATAGTTCGGAAAATATTTTCTACCTTTGGGACTGACGAATAGGATTTGTTTATTATATTTTGGAACCTTATAAAGGTCTATATAATATCTCATAAGTAGTAAAATGTCTTTCTTTGATGACAGCAGAACAGATACATTCCATTCATAGATCATATTGCTCTCTTTATTCTCAATATTATTTTCAACGTATACAACAACTAAAGTTGTCAATAAATATTTGAACTAAGTTGTCAATAAATATTTCAACTTCGATAATTCCTGCATTTTATGCCACAAGGTTACGACGTAAGGGCCTGCTCCAAGCATAAATAAATAGGTGTCTTGGTAACTGTCATGTTACTAAATGAATTAATAAATATGAAATGAATAAATGATGTACATTTGTGCTGACTTAAACGACTTCATAAAACTGAAGTGAAGCTATAATTAGCTATACAATAAATATAGAGACTGATATTGTTATGAGGTTTGAATAAAAAATATATCTGAATTATTTTGGTAGCAAACGATTTTAATGATATCCTATCCCGGACTCGAGTCAGTTAAACGTTAGTGGTACTAAATTTGGCAAAAAATGAGACATAAATTTCTCGATTTTTCAAAATATTTATCTTAAAGGGATGTAACGTCCGCGAAAGTTGAGAATCCTTTCAGTCCCACTTTAGTTTTTGAAAAGTTTAAATCAATACTTATTGATAAATAACAGTCAAATCCTTCTTAACGTTGGACACATTATATTCAATGCACATTTTAAAAAGGTAATTCAAGGGTTTCTCGTAGTTAAATTTTGCGTCGCTAAGTTTCGCGTCAACCTAAGTTTCGCGGTTTTATTTTTTGTGAAATCGCGACAATTAGTAACGAGAAGTTTATAATCGGGGCTAACAAATCCGTGTGACGATATATTTGCATTTTTCGATCACAAGTGTTTTTAGAGAAAATTTGTTCTCTGTATTTGTTTAAGGACGTGGAGGCAAGGCAATTTTGATCTTTTTTTCTTTTTTTTTTTCTCTGAATCACGTCTCTTCCGAGTGGACTAGCGGCTTTATTGTAATTATAACTATAAAGTACAAGCTGTCTGAAAACTACACATCACTGATTGCCGCCATGTTCCTCTCTCCTGTCTGTGTGGGTGGATCTGTCATGACTACTACACTGCTGGATTGACTGAAGATGTCTTCTCTTGAATCTTCAATGTTTGAACGACTTCCAGTTATAGTTACTGTAAGAGAAAAAATGTTAAGAAACCTGTAAATTGTGAAAGCTTTGGCTCATCTACGAACTAACTTTCTCCGCTAATATATTATATATATAATATAATATTTATTTGATATAAACGAGATAGATTTTAATATTCGAGGGTCGTAAATTCAGACCTATTTCTTTGACCAATCCTAATGTGCGCAGACGCAATCGTAAGCGCGGGAAAACGTATGCGAGGTGAGGATCGGGTGGCGAAGTGGCGCGAGCCGATTTTTCAGCCGATAGAGAGATTTAGAGTCACGTTTACGCCAAACGGCAAACGTGAATCTGTACCATATGACCAAGTTTTCCCCTTAATTGTGTTTACTATTAATTCTACATAAAAAAAGCGTGGTTTCTCGCCAGTTTTATCCATAGGAATTGTTCTGGACAGTTTTTATGTGCTTAAGTTTTCTATTTTGAGAAATTCTCACCTTGAATCTGACAAACAAAGCCACGTGAAGCCAACGCAATCGCAAAATTGCAGTTGATATTTTAGGCTATTCATTATTTTATCGTGGTTTCAATTTGTTTGGATAATTGCTTGAGCTTTGGTATACGAAAAGGATATTGCTATAAAGTGATCAGACAAATTACCTTTATCTGCCGAACAACTTCTCGTTAGACGGTAAATTAGACCAGCTTTCTTGCGGTAAAGGATGGCATCAAACACCAAATACATGAGTACAAACTGTCCTAAGAAAAGGCCGATGTAAAATTCCTGAGGAAATCCACCTGAGAAAAAGAAAACAACAGGAACTGATTTAATTATTAATATATTGCTTCTGATTATAAAAAGTATTTTTTGCTATCAAAATAGCTCGAATTTATAGCCGGGACTTAATGGAGCCGAAACTAATCGTGGAACTGAAAACATCTTAGGTATCCTGCCGATGAACAGTGGTGACTTACAGATATTTCCAGCAGCAACAATTTGCTCCGTACAAGGGTGGGGCACTTCCTAAGAAAAGAATCACGGAATGGTTTGAGCTGGTAACGTTCATTGGGTCAGTACAAGGTGATTTCATAGCTCATTCCAGGTACCTTGATAGGTGACTTTTGCAAAACATTCTTACCTTTCTGTGTGGGTTTAGTAGAGGATACTTTGTCCGTTTCTGGTTCCGGTATCGTGCTATCTGTGCAGTTCCTAATTCTCTCTTCCGTGCAAACACACCCACACTTTTTTGAGCTCCAAACCTGAAAACACACAAGTTATACAAGACTCAGTTAGTTATACCATTTTCCTGGCGTAAATAAAAATCACTCACTTCGAATCTTGTTGACAAGAATCTCTTGCGGTGAACGAAAGACAACGTATACCATTTCCTAGCCGAGAAGCATAAAGGTGATACTACACTAGACGATTCGCAACGACGATTTTAGCACAACACAGCGCTACAATGTTGGAACAATGTTATAACCATCCGAAACAATGTCGCAACAATGCTGCAACGCTGTGTTCCGCTAAAAATCGTCGTTGCGAATCGTCTCGTGTAACATCACCTTAACAGTGTTAAGATCCGGTAACGTAAGTAGCTCGATAAAAGGCGACACTGACGCAAATTGCAGAGTGATCATACCTTATTTGGTGGACATATTTCTGGCTGCTTATTACAGACACATCTGCAGTCATTTTTACTCCTGACGAGCCCATTCCCACAAGGCTTTGGTGGCTTATCACCATATTTACACCTGCATTGGCAAAGGTCTGGTTTCCAGTCCTCCCAAGTCGGGTCACACTGGCTTGGACTCAAGGTGCAGTCACATCCACAGCTAGTGTGGTTCTGCATGTTAATTTTCGTCCATCTTTGTGTCCCAACTACTTGCACCGTAACAGGGACGTCAGTATACTGTGTTGGCACGCATGACCGAACTGAAGGCTGAATCTTGTCACAGGATCCACCGCACCTATGCAGATTGATGAAGTACGGAAAGAACTTGTAGTATGGCTTGTCGATGGCTACTAGTGTAGGACGCGGTCTGCAATATTCATTTTTAACATGGACTATATATAAAGAGAAGAAAAATTCACTTCGTTATATAACTGTTTTTTTCCATTTGAACCCCTTTCGAAATTGACAGTGTACTCTTTCGTATGTCGGTTTGACAAAGTCGAGACAAAGGTAGTGGCTAACGCAAACCTTGCGTAAGACGTCAGTACTTTTTAGCGTAACTTAACTGACGACCAAAAAAACTTCACTTTAGAATCATAGTTTTAATTCCTTATTCAAAGAAGTGCCTGACAAGGTAATTTTGTACAGTAGCGGACAATCGATAGTAGTCGTGAATAGTCACATGATACGATTCAGGCACCAAGGTAAAAATTTCGAACAGTTTCACACAGTGTTAACTCCAGAGGAAAAACTGAGGTTTAAATAATAGGTGTTAAATGAGCTGAGGTTTTGATTCATAGTATACCAGGAACTCTAAGTGAATGACAGAGAAAGGAAGAAAAATACCTGAATTTCCCAGTATGGGAAGGAGAAGAATCAAAGCAAAAATTCTCTGCATGTTTCGTTCTCTTCTTTCTTTGATTATGATAATTCGCAAAATGGCTGCAATAAGTAAGAGTACTACTAATTAGACCGCACTCAAAATATTAACTCAGTCAATCACCGGCTTTGCTCTTAGTGATAGCACCATCGCCGGTTCTTTGCTGAATTGATATGACTATAAAAGATGCTTTAAGTCTACTTAATTTGATATTCTTTTAATTGACTTATGGGATAATGGTTTCAATAAGTTTAACTTACCTGATATGATATGCTTTTTTTAAAAAAGTTCGTTTTCCTTCTTTTGGATCCTTACTTGTCTAGTTGTTCCTCAGTTTGACTAAGCATCGGTCCACGATGTTCTTTATAACAGCTCAAGAACCGAGCTGAAGTTATGACAACGGATATCCTCTCCTGCTGTCACATTCCCAGACGAGCTACGCCACACGTATCACTCGAACCTTCCCGACCTCATCCCAGAAGACTCTGGAATGTTTAAAAGAACTCAAAGGCTTAACTGGATCCAAAAACCGGTTCAACTCTTGCAAAAACTTGCATTTTACTAGCCTTGCAGTTATCAGTGTGATGCTGGCGTAGTAAGACTTCAACCGCACCAATTTCTGCCCACAATCACTTAGGGCGATTTTAGTAATTTCGTCCGGAATTACGGTGGTAAGTGAGGTAAACGGAGGTAAACGAATTTATCACGCAGTTTGTTCGCAGGAAAAAGGAAGTGGCCACACAAATTCTTTGCAAGCTACATTGTAGCTGAGTCATAAGCAGTTACTGCAAAAAACTAAAATAAAACAAAGGGAAATGACATGAAAGCACTGTAACTTTTTCCTGTAATCCTGTAGATCATTGTAACTAAATCCAAAATCGAAATAAGATACAAATATCACTAGCTCAAGCAGTCAAAAATTGCGCAATATGAAACCCTTGAATCAGAGAAAAATAAACATTGGGTGTTTGGGATATCGATGTTTTTGTGTATCCACCAAAAATTCCTTTCCAAGTTTAGTGGGCGAAAAAAAATACGTGAATCTACTTATGTTGCACGCTTTCCGATAAAGGTGTCTCATGTACTGAACATAGTAACAGATTGCATGTAGTCAACGCAACTCCTCCGTGGAAACAGCAAAAACTGAAAAAAAGAAAAAGAAAAAAACAAAGAAAATGTGTGAAACATGCAACTGTTTTGCAAACACTAAATGCACGCGCCATTTCAGTACTAATCTGTAAACCTGAAGAAGGCTGGTATAGCCAGCCGAAATATTCTAGTGTTATGAAAAATAATACACGTTTTTCTGATCAGCTTTGCAGTAATCTTTGGACTTCTCGTTTTTGGTTCAATACTAATGCCTGCCTTTATTTGCTCTCAAAATGTTTTCTCGATAACCAGCGGTCTGTGAAAATGTTTGCGTTTCTTTCAAGCTGTGATTCAAGTGTCTCCGTTTTGGTTTGTTTTCGTTTTTAACTTCCTTTCTTCCGATCCGATCCTTCGGCTCGCCTATTTAACAAGGGCGCGGTGATAAGTGCCCCAAATTGACGTCACGGGATGCAGAGGGTAGCGCAGGGGTCAGTTATATTTGGCAGTACTGTCCAAATTAATTTTAGCCGATAGCCGACGCAGAGGTTTGAGGGGGCGTCGTTGAATTTATGTTGCGCGAAGTGAGTGCAGGCGCGAAAACCGAAAAAAAGGGCCAAATTTTAAGCCTTTATACTTTACGCTTTTGTTTCTCCACTAATATGCTCCACGTTAATCCTCCATTTTTCCTACTAAAATGCTCGGTAGTCCCCCAAAAAGTTACTTAAATGCTCGACAATGATCATCATATAGATTCAATTTTTAAAGCAAGGACGAGCTTACAAAAAAGAAGGACCGGATCCTATAGCTACATGTAATAAAGGATCTAATCAGCATAATGAGGCCTTTTTTTTAAATTATTTCTAAACATTTCAAGTAATATATCAAACATGAGATGCAGTGTTTCATCACCAGATGAAACACCGAGAAGAGAGTTGAAAATACGACGCGCAGCGGAGTATTTTTGACGAACTTCGAGGTGTTTCATCTGGTGATGAAACACTGTGTCGAATGTTTGATATTTCTTCTCAAACAAAATCATTTTTGAAGGAGAAATTAAGGATGCAAATACTAAGCAGTGTTTCATCCGATTTCCAAACACTCATTAAACATTAATTTCCTTTGT